TGCACGCAACTGAAATAATATAGTAAATGGAGTTTTTTGACAGGATAGAACGGTTAAAGTATGGAGGGCAGAAGATGGTATCCTCTGTCGGACCCTGACTGGGCATGCTCATTGGATCAATTCGCTTGCATTAAATTTTGAATACGTGTTAAGAACTGGATGTTATGATTTAAAAAACAATTGCAAAGCTCCAACAAACCTTGAAGAAGTATAACGTTTTCCATTAAACTTTTGTGATCATCAAACTACTCTTTTCTTTTATCAGAAGGCCTTTATTATTACTTTCCAATTCATTTTTGTGACTTTGAGCTTACTAGGTTTTTTTTATAGGCAATCACTTTAGCCAGAAAAAGGTATGAGGCCGCCAAAGGCTCAAGTCCGGAGTTATTAGCTTCTGCTTCTGATGACTTTACATTGTATTTGTGGAGACCTACTAGTGACAGGAAGCCAATCGCCCGGATGACAGGTCATCAGCAGTTGGTTAATCAGGTACTTTTTTTTGATTTTTACAAACCTCAGTTGGAACATCTGATAACTTATAAGTTTTTGTAGGTTAGAACTTAGTGTTTATGAGAAGTAAAAGCGGCTTTAAGATTGAAAGAGAAGGAAGAAGAAAGGTGAAAGACTTTTCATATGGTGATAGAAGTTTTAGAGGAAAAGAAGGAATCAAAAGTTGTCTATTAAAATTTAACTTTTCTGAGCAAACTTGATGTGGAAGTCTTTTAGCTAAAAGACATCACTGATCAAGGTGAATTTTAGAAACTTTATTTTGAATGATTATCAAGCTGTTTTTTCTTTACAATTTACTTTTTATTTTGGTGGGACTGTTACGGTGAGGTAAATTTAATACTTGTTGATGCATTTTTATCAAGATGCATTTCACTTTTCTGGGTATTTATTGCGAAGGAGGTTTTAAAATTTATTCCGGTTTATAGGGTTTTTAGCTGACAACTGGTCGACCTTTTAGGTCTTTATTTTATTACATTTTCTGGATTAATGATTGATTTGGAAAGCTTAGAAAATACGATGACACATAGTGGTTCTTGCGCATTAAAAAGGTTTAATGATTAGATGAAAGTTGAAGTTATGTCATTTATTGAAGTTTCTAGGTAGCCTTTTCCCCCGATGGAAGAATTATTGCTTCCGCATCGTTTGATAAATCTGTAAAACTTTGGTGTGGTCTTACTGGAAAATATCTTGATACACTTAGAGGTCATGTTCAAGCAGTTTATCAAATAGCTTGGTCTGCAGATAGCAGGTTGTTAGTGTCTGCATCTCGAGATTCAACCCTGAAGGTTGGCGCGATAAATTTCTTTTATTTAAGATCAATGAAGAATGTCTTTAAAATGAATTATCTTTGTTATTCAACAACAGGTTCGTTTTGACTTGAATGATTTAATTGTTACTCGTTTTCCTCTATGTAAAGCACAGGTGTGGGATGTTAAGAAACGGAAGCTTTCTGTCGACCTCCCGGGTCACGGTGATGAAGTTTATGCAGTCGATTGGAGCCCAGACGGCATAAAAGTTGCCAGTGGTGGGAAAGATAAAGTTTTGAAACTATGGCGTGAGTAGCGGAATGCAGCAACTGATGAGTAAATCTAATTAAAGAAGTTGAATTTTTAAAAATAAAGCGTCTGCAGACTTTTGAGAGTTTACAACGTCTGGACAGTCTATGATGTTTATGAATAATTATTTGTTTTTAAAAAACAAGTGCTTATTTTAGATGCCATATATCGTTAACGAACTGTTGTGGGAAAGATACTGTATGCTGCTTAACGGAGAAAAGAATTGGGGGTTTAGAGTGAAAGCATTATTCACGCGTTGGTGTCGAAGTTTATGGCGTTATGACTTGTAAATTTGCCGTCTTTCACTTAGCTAGAAATATTCAAATAGAACAGCAGGATTTTTGTTTTGAGAATACTGAATTCTTTTGAATAATTGACTATTTTTCATGAATTTTAATCTGGAGAGCAGCAACAATTAATATTCTTTTTTTGGGCATCTGTAACAATGCTGTACAACTGAAAGCAATTGACAAACGTTGCCTAAACGTGTGGGTTATTGCTGGTCAATATACTTATCAATATATCATTGACATAAACGCTGTCTTCTTCAATATGTTCAGTGGAGCTGCTATTACAAGTATACAGTTAAAATTCAAAGTTACCGCTTGAAGCTAAATTTAGTTGGATGTCATATAAATCTTCAGAGTGCAGTAATGTTTTCAGAAAAATGTTTTCTATTTTGGAGGCTGTATTTGTAGTAGTCAACTTTATTTAATGGTGGAAGATATAGTTTGTTGGAATAAACAGTTTATGATAACTTTTTGGTCTGTATTAAAAACAGATGAAGTTTCTGGTTTGAGTGGTAATAAATTACTGTTTTGAATTGAATATACAAAAGATAATAAAAGTGTAAAGATGAAATCTTTCTTTAAGAATGGTAGTTCAACTAAAAAGTTCATGTGTTTTCTTTTTATTCAATGAAGTCAGTCCTGTTTTTCTTTTGTTTTTACTTATCAGTTGGTTGTCGCCCAAATGAAAACAACAATCTTAAGAAAAGATTTTTTGGCAACAGTGAATCATTGACGCGAAAAACACTCGATCAAAAGGTACAATATCAGTTGGCGTTAGATATATCAAGTTCAAAATTGGAGCGGAATTATGCGATTGGTCAGCTGTTTCTAGTCTTTGATAAATACTGCTGGAAATTGTATCTGCTGAAATGGTATAACAGTTGGTCGCGAACTACGTTCAATCTATTTTTCCTTGGGTTTTTATTTATTTATTTATTTTTTTTATTTTCAGAATTGGGGAGGCTGCATTATGGCTGCGTTGAATCCCGCTCACCATTTGAATTTGTGTACTTATCCATATAGGAGTTCTTTTCTACTTTTTTTTCCTGAAACATTTGTAGACAAATTTAAGAGTGTAAATCTACAATGTTTTACTTCGGTCGCAACTAATCATCGTTGTTTATTAGTCGGGCAAAAAAAAAAAATATTCACTTACTGGATAATTTAAATTGAAAAGACAGAACGGACCAGCAGTAGTTTTATTCAAAATTATTCACTATTGATATGTGCATCAAAATTTTGAGAGAGAGAAAATTACTTTACCTATAATGGCTAAAATATCTTTACATTTATTAAACAAACAGAATGTACCAGGTTCTCAGTGTTTCCGTACAGAAGAATGTCGTCCCCCCCCCCTCCCCCCCTCATAAAACTTTGCTTTAAAGTTCTTTGAACTGAAAAACAGGGAGGGGAACGGAAAATAAAAGAAAAAATTTCAATTGCTGAACAAACAGTGTTTTTTAGACGCGAACAATTACTGAAAATAAAAAAGTTAATGAATCACCGTTTCCTTTTTTTCGAAGAAATTACACCTCACATTCTAACACCTACGCAACTGCAGTCGTTAAAAGCCAAAGCTACCCTTCAATTTTGCTTAATTTAATTTTATATGTTGTATTTGCTTAAGTGTAATTTGTTTATTTCTGTATCACTGTCAGTTTTTTCCGCTTAGTCTATTGTGAATGACTGAAATATAGCTAAAGATACATAAGACGATTAGATAAAAATAGGGGTGTCATTTTTTTTACTAGACGAATTTGGTTGAAGAACGGCAAACAGTCGGTTTATGATACTGAAATCAAAATATCGCTTTCATTGTTGACTGTATACGTACAAAAAAATTTAAAAAGACAAAAAAAAATTTAAATAAATTTAAAAAAAATTTAAATTTTTATAAATGAATTTAAAATGAAATTCAAAATTCTCGGTATAAATTTGAAAAAAAAATTCACATCTTCAATCAGACGTCTTTCTAAGAGAATAAGTTTTGACAAAAATAAACTGACTGAAATAATGAAACAAGAAGAAAATTTGATTTCTGTATACTTTTGAAATCTGGGTGATGTCACGTCTGCTCTTTTGCTTCGTTTTCTGTATTCTTTTTTTTTTCGTCTGCATTAATCTGTCAAAGTCAAAATCTTTGATTGATTACAAGGCAGAATTTTAGAATCATAAAAAGTGTAACCGACAATAAACGATTTTATAAGGATCGATAATGTCAAAAAATTTGTTCAGTTTTATACGGATTATTTCAACGTTTTATACCCACCTGCTTATTTTGTTGTCCTCTCTTACTCCACCATTTCCTTCCTTTTCTTTTTTTTTTCAAACGTCTTATGATTGTTTTTCTTCCTAGAGTTCACCTCCATAGTGAATGTAATTCAGCAACTGTATAGTGCGATCTTAATTTTTATGAACTTCTAAATGCACTTTTTTGTTCCTGTATCACTAATCGGCTAAACTATTCAGTACAAGCGTCAAGCGTAGAATGCGCTAATTGTTTTAATGCTTACAGTTTTTATACTTCCGAAATGTCTTGTCATCTGGTTTAAAAGTGACATCTAAATAATTGTTATTGTCGGTAGTGGTTTATTTTTTTATTTCGAAATTTCCGGCTTTCAAAAAACAGTTTCAGACTGAAATGGGAAGACATCTGTTAGTAGTTGTGTTACTACTGGTCGCGTTTGCTTATGCAGTATTTTCAGCAACATTGGCTGGCCGAGGCAAGTAATTTATTTTTGACCTTTTTCTCTTCCTATAATTCTATAATTCCTATTCATTCTTCTCATCTACAAAGAAATCTTCATTTCTATTTATTTAACTATCTAGATTAAAGTGGTGTTAAACAGCAAAAAATTTATGGGTAGCAATCAAAAACAAATGAATCACATAACAATGGGAACCAAGAAGATAGTCATCAAATAAATTACTGTAATTTATAAGCAGTTCTCGAACCTCTGCTTCCTAAGAGAATGCATTAGTTTCAACATTTAAATGTTGAAACTAATTTATTCTCGTATCAAGCGAAGGTTAAGGCAACAGATATCTCGTTATAAACATTCAAAAATTACCATCGTGCCCAAAATTGTTTGGTTAATTCAATGCTATCATCGGAACTTCTGTCACCACATATCATCGAATGAAAAAAAAGAAACAAAAGCATTTCAAATTTTCCGTTATGCAACTGCAAAACCAGTTTTTTTCGCATCTTTTGATCAGTGGCTTTTTTCATGCTACCTTATTCTGCTTCACATTTATTCCACCCCAAAATAAATTACTTACTGATATAGGAAACGCAAATAGACTAACATATGTTTAATTTTCGCTTCTCTTACCTGAATCTATAAGTAGTAAAAAGAAGTTTTGGAAGGTAGTATATATTACCTAGAAAACAGCATAAAAGGACTACCTTTACTTGTTGGCTGACCATCAAAAATCTTTGTTAAGAAAAACTGGCGGAAAAGACTGATAACTATTAAATATTATCTAGCAGAAATTAGTTCTTGTCTTTGTTTCTTTTTAGCCGAATTAAGTGAAGGAGAAAATCAAGAAGAAATATGCGCAAAGTACTGTCCAAAAAGTCATTTCCAAGAGTGCAGTGCTATCATGCAAGAAACCAAGTGGGAATTCGAGTGTCGTACCTATCCAAAGAAAATTGACGACAATACGTATATCGGCAAGTAATCGCTCTCCTTCTGCCTCTCTTTTTTGTCATCTTTGCCACTGTTTCTTAATTAATACATCTAATCAGTGATTAACAGTGAATTTTTTCAATTTTCAATGAAGATTTGGAGTTGCTTGCCAGTACTGTGTTATGCAGTAAAGTCACAATGTTCTTTTTTCCGGAATGACAACGTGGAAATTGAATGTATTATCTAAGATAGAATTTTGCAATAATAAAAAAATACGGTTGCTTTCAAACGAAATATATTTGTTTTATTACTTTTCGTTTCTTTGACATAGTCCAATCAGCTTTTTTGTCGCAAAGCTCCGCCTCATACAGTCTATTAATCTGAATTTTTGATCAAAAGTTGAGTTTTTGTTAGTTTTTTCGTGTATAAAACACAGATTATGCAGAAAGATTTGTTTGATGTCTCGTTGTGACAAGTACCGAAATAAAGGTTTTAAAAAACTAAGTAACAGAACCTAGCCATTACTGTTGATCAAAATTCCAATCAGATTAAAATGGAGACCGATCGTCAACATTTGGCCTAAGGTGAAATAAACAACTGTCTACCTATCACTAATTCTAATCCCTTCAGCATCGTCGGCTCAACGTACATATGCTTTTTAGATTCTGAACAGAATTAGCACTCCTGAAGCCAGTTACCTGCTCTCATTTAAGCACAGTAATTGTTGCAGCAAGTGACGCACAATGGTAAAAGCAAATAGCTTTTTAAACAGTTTTTGACGAGGAATATGTAGGCTTTGTTCAATGTATTTTTGCTCGTCAAGTACGAGCAAAACGAATAAAAAGCCAATAGTGTTTGTGCCGGTTGATTAACAGTCGATAACTCTAGTACACAGAATCGTACTGATGAAACAATACTCTAAAGCTGAAATGTGATGCAATTGGTAGTAATTATAAATAACTAAAATGAGCGACTAGATTTGTAATAAATAAAGACAGAACAACAAAGCATTCACTGCCTCAAAAATGTAAGAAAAAAGCCATTGTTTATTAAATATTAAAACTGTTCTTCCATAGCTGTTCCAA